TTAAAGGGTTAGTTCACTCAAAAATGAAAATTCTGTCATTAATTACTCACCCTCATGTTGTTTCAAACTCGTAAGACCTTCGTTCATCTTCGGAACACAAATTAAGATATTTTTGATGGAATCTGAGAGCTGTCTGACCCTGCATAGACAGCAATACAACTGAAATGTTCCCAATTCCATGTAGCAAGGAGATTGATAAAATAATCCATGTGACATCAGGGGTTCAGCCATAATTTTACGAAGCTACGAGAATACTTTTTGTGCACACACACAAAAAAAAACAACAATTCGTCTCCTCCTCCTCCACCCTGTAGCGCCATTTTGGAGAGTATCTGCTGGACGTAAACAAGGTATGTTGTTCTGTGTCAGCTGCTTCGCACGGATACGCTATTTTCGTTTAGATCAAATCACAACAATGTAGGAAACAGATCTGGCGTGACGCAGCTGACACATGAAGGGTCGGTTTTGAAAATAAGTAAATTAAAATTTTGCAACAAAAAATAAATAAAATTAATTTTATTAATTTGTATATTCTTTAAAATTCATTGAAAAAAGTAACCTAAGCCTACGACATTATAAGCAAGAGTTGAGTTGTTAAATCAAATTGACTGTGAAAGTCATTTCAACTTATTAAAAAAAATCATTTGTTGCCATGACTTTTTGATCATATTATTACCTGTAACATCTGTGCCTTACCCACATTAAGATTAACGACCATTTCTGCAACCATTGCAACGAGGCAGCAGAGAAAGAGCGACAGCGTCTTCAGCAGCAAGCAATCCCGCATTCTCAGAACTGTAGCGATTATTTTGGTGTTTAATGCTAGACCTTTCTTATTCTTAAATTAATGCTTAAGGTTGTAACACAAATAAAAAAAAAAAGTTTTGGGGATTTTCCCCTTAATTCAAATGAATGCTTAGTTTGTGGCTCATTAGGCTATTATTAATGGGAAAAAAAGCATAGGCTATACAATAAAATAGTAGCCACAATGACATATATTCACTTATATTAAACTTTGAACTTTTATTAGCCTAACAAAAGGAATAAGGATAATATGTTTTACCCGCGTTGTAACACAAATTAATAATTTAGAGCCCTGCACGGGCCTCCAATAGGTCCTAGCCCGGCCCTTGCCCGACAGCTTATCAGAATTCTCGGCCCAAATCCGACTGGTGATGCAGATATTATAACAATCTATCGATAAACACTATATATACACTATATATATGAATATATATATATTCAAATATAATTTATATTATATATAAATATTAATATTTCATATATAAACAAAACATATTTTCTTAAATATATAAATGCATGTGTGTGTATTTATATATACATAATAAATATATACTGTACAAACACATACAGTATATTATGTAAACAAAAACTTCTATTTTGGATGCGATTAATCGTTCGACAGCACTAATTATATATTTATATATTTATTTTTTTTCCTCTGAGGCGGGTTTTCCATACACTTACTGGAAAGTCGAGCAAAAATATTAATGTCCACGCGCGTCTCCACAGATCCTAGACTGGTGCTAGGACCCAGGAGCGCATGTTGCCTAGCGGTCAGGGCACACACATTCCTGCCATACCACAGTGAATGGAAATGATTGTTGTCGTGAGTCAGTCAAATGTGTTAAGCAGCAGAGTTCCAATCAGCTAAAGAGAGTCCCGGGAAATTCACTTACAAAAACTCTCCCCTCTGACAGATTGAGTAATCCATGTCAGGATCTCGCTGGGTAAATATGGCATGTATAACTTTGCTAACTTCGCTGTCGTGTTTTTCGCAGTTTCCTCAGTGGATTCAAATGTAGCGGATGATGTGATCAATGTAACATGTGATGCGTGACTCATGTTTACCAGCTTTCAGCTGGAGTTTAGAAATCTACATGTACCAAGCAGGGATTCTTTACTGAAAGTTTATTTTTCAAATGCAATGGATTACTCAGTAAAGTACCCATTTAAAGCTTTTCATGTCTGACTGCATAAACTATTTGCATTAACTGAATATATATGCTTCTAAATGGGGGTTAATAGCTGGCTACGTAATGCTTAAGTTCATCTGGTGGTTCTATTTTTGGGTTCTCGGGTAAGTTTCCCTGTTAACTCCTCCAGTCATTTCGCGTGTGTTATATTGGTGTTAATTATTCATATAATTTTTATTTTTTATTTTGTAGATACTATGAATATACTGTGAAAAATATGCAGATGTTAGGTATTTCTATCCGACCTGAATATTTTGTTGATGTAAGCGAATGTATTCAAATTAATTTAGTTAAATTAAATACTGTAGTAAAAAGTTAATAAAGTTAATATTATAATAATACCAGTTAATTTAAGATGTTGTTAAGACAAAACATTCTATACACTGTTTTAAAAATCTAAAGATTTAAAGCGATCTAAAGCACACATTACATTCTAGAATATCTGGTTGTGTTTAATAGTCCTTAAAGCCCGTTCACACCAAGAACGAAAACGATAAAGATACTGTTTATTATAAATGCCCTGGAGTAGTGTTGTCACGGTACCAAAATTTCAGTATTCGGTACCAATACCAGTGAAAATCCACGGTTCTCGGTACCAATTTCGGTACCAAAGCAAAATACAAAAACATGCTAATTAAAAAATTTGACATACTTTCATCGGAGAGATTGGAGTTAGAGCTCTGCATTCCTGCGGCTCTCCCGACCAGATTGTTTGCGCCGCGGGATTAAATTCCCGAATAAAACGCGGTAGCGGTCGGTAACTCTGGTGTAATTTGAACGGGAGCTAGTGGTCTAACAATATCCCGTTCCCGACGTCCATTTAGAACAGCATATCTGCACTTTATTCTTATTGACCACCGGTACAGCCTTCACTCGGACTGTCTTGCACGCGCTGCACGCACGCATGCTCAGAGCAGGCTGTACCTGTGGTAAATATACGGCCCTCAGACAGAACAGACAGGTTGTCGATGAGTGATAGAGCAGAATAAGGATGGAGCAAAGCAATGCGTTCAACTTTTGTTTATACTTTGCTTAGCCTATAATTTTAAATGACAGATTGACGTTTAAATGAGTATTTATTTATTTTTCTCTGCACACTTTTCCTACTAAAAAAAATAGCTAATAAGTTATTTTTGTACAACCTACATTATTTTTTTTCTCTCTGCGACAATTTTTTGCTATTGTGTTGTAAATGTTAAACGAATTTTATCCTGACAAGACGAATAAAAATAAGAAATAGCCTACAATTTTTGTAGCCTACAACATTGACTTGGTACCGAAGTACCGGGTCTTTTGACAACACTACCCTGGAGTTATGTTTTCTGCCGCTTTAAATGCTTAAAGTGATAGTTCAGCCAAAAATTAAAATTTGCTAATTTACTCACCCTTAGGACATTCAAGGTGAGATTCATGATCTCATGACGTCATGATTTAATAATAATAATAATAATAAATACTATGTAAAAACGAATAACAATAAAACGTTATAACACTTCCCAAACGGTTCCAAATGTAATTACAAATATTATTGGATTATTTCCAGAAAAAAAGAGCAAAAATGATTTGATAGTTCAATAATTCGAAATCTCTAAAATCAAGATTGATCTCTTTTAAATTGTATATTTAATATACAGCAGCCTATGTTTGCGTCTGAGTAAAAACAAAACTGGAGGGTTCCAGAGCATCATTCCTGTCTTCTGTAATTCAACCTTCCATAACTTGGCCTTGGTCTTGTTCCTCCATGCATGCACAGTATTTTGGGGAGCTGAACAGAAACAAGCACATTTTGAGTGTTCCACACACCACTTGCTGGCTGTCTTCAAATACACAATGATTTGGTTCTGTGAAATAGCCAAAAACAATAATGATAACATTGCATGGATGTTCAAAAACACAAAACATCAAAGAAGCTATCACTTTGTTGCTATTCCTCTAACAATACAGTAGGTAGGTCTTGTGGTTATGGAAATGGTGCACTCCAACATCGGATGCAGTATTTCTATATTACCATCATCTGCTTAACACAGGGGTGTCCAAACTCGGTCCTGGAGGGTGTCTTGCTTGCCTCAACACACCTGCCTGGAAGTTTACTCTATGCCAGGGGTAGGCAAGTTCGGTCCTAGAGAGTCCTGCAGAGTTCAGCTCCAACCCTGAAAGAAAAAATCCCCTGCCTATAGC